TTGTTTTTAGACTTTTTGGGATCCCAATCGTTCCTGTGTATATTGATATCAAAGAGGGGGGAAACGAGTATGTTGGTATCACGGCTCGGAGTCTGAAAATTACTTACGAGTAGGACAAGTGGTTTGAGAACATGCTTGGGTTTCTGAACTAGGTCCGTCGCAGTTACTTCCGCCATTGGCTGGTGCTGGGTTTGTACACGTACGTGTTCGTGATTGGCTGCCTCCACCACACGACACAGAACACGAGCTCCACGAACTCCATGCTGTCCAGTTACCATTCACAACTAAAATCATGGCAAATCATCAAAAAGTTGAAATACCTTATCTATCGATGATCAGAATATAGTCAAATCCAACTAGCGTTCTATAATCAATGCAGCTTTCTGATTGGATGAACTACTAGGGCTATATACGATATAACCTACAAGAAGCGAAAAGTGCCGGCTCTCAAAGCCAAAAAAAATTGAATTTAACTTTAATTCAAGACTTGTTTGCATCTAAATATTTGACCGACTAGTTGGATTTGCTTCATGGGGTATTGAATCATAGCCCATTTGTGCTCGAGGACTAATTGCTAATTAGTTTTTAGCAATCAACTGCTTTCAAAACTTGGCAAGAAAACTTGCAAAATTTTCAAGGGTTAGTAATATGTAAATTGAAAACTTCAATTTTTGATTTTGTTTGTGTGTGTGTGTGTGTTGTTTTTACCTCCACAACTTTGTGTGTTACAAGCCTCGGTTTGCCAGATATCCCAGCAATTCCAGTTATCCCAATCAACGCATTCACGAAACCTCCATCTGTATCCACCACCACATTGTTCTGAACACGAGCTCCAAGCTCCCCACTGCCGATACAGCTGTTCTGGAAAGTGAGAAGACGTTATTTCAAAAGATGTGATCATAGAACTGTAATCGTCATTTTGCCAATTTATTCACGAGTGCTATGTCTTTTGGATTTTTCCCTTCATTTGTAACTTTGGTACCAATATATGTCACACATGATGGCGATGATGATGATGATGATCATGGTTGTAGTGACACTATGAAGATACATGAGGATGATGCTACATAATCATGATAATGATGATCATGGTTGTAGTGACACTATGAA